CCCCAAAACCCCAAAACCCCAAAACCCCATTGTAGAGAAAGCAACTTGAAAGATTCATTGAGCCCTAAAATATTACTAAGGAGGCCTGAATAGCTTAACATTTGAACCTCCATGCTACTCCTGCATGAATTTAGCTATCTGAGTAGCACCTCTGCTGTATTAATTCCACTATTACAACCACATATAATAAATATCAAAGATCTTGAGCAGATATATCCTAAGATCCAGCTCTCTGTAATCCTGGCATATTTTCAGCTCAAAAGTAATATTCTAGTAATGTATAAGTAGGAGTTCTTCGAAAGATAGAATACTGAACTTCTGAGTGAACTGCGAAATCCCAAACCCCTATTGCTAAAGCTATAGTTATCTCTAGGTTTTAAGCTGAAGAATGACCGTCTAAATGCTTAATCTGCCTCACCAGATTAATCATTTGTAACAATGTGATCAGCGCCAGACCAAAGGTTTCTAAACCAAAATGAATAATTATTGGACCATCTTTGTACTTTAAACTAGGGTTTTGTCCTCTCAGTTGTATGTTGTCAAGGAAGAGAATCAGAAGCACTCAAGACAGCTTGATCCATGAGCACATTTATGTCCGGCCCACAGCAATTTAAGACTTAGATAGTTTTCTAAAGTGTCAGACTGCTTTGAAAATATATATCTGGCTCTAGAGAAGTGGGATCTGGGTGCACTGAAGAGGCCAGGATTTAGGTGTTACAAGTTTTAGGTTTGAATATATCACTATTGAATTCATTTTAGAGTTGTTTTATTACATTTAGAGTCTTGAAATGATAACTTTGATATGGCCAAGACCATATTTCTCAAAAATTGGACTTACAAAATCTTGTTGTATGCTATTCCTAAACAATATTTGCCTCAGAGACTCTTTGAGATTACAAGAAGAAATTGCACTTATCAAACGCTCCAGTTTCTCTGGGTGTTTTTTCCACTTATTAATCTGAGCTCAATCATCAAACAAAATTGTCTTAATCACTGTTCCCTTCATTAACTTGCTCAAATCAGGTACTCTTGAAATGTTAAATTTGCATGAAAGAAAACTGACTTTCACTTGGTGTCTACATCCCACGAGGAACTTTTTAAATTGGGTTTCGTTTAAGCTAAAACCTCTAAGGCTGTTTACCTTCTGAATTCGAGCTCATATATTAAAAATTTGTGACAAATGCAAGCCAATCTCAATTGGTTCCAAGGCTACAAATTTCAGATTCTCCACACAGTTGTAAGGTGAAAAATGAGCCACACACTTTTGGAATAACTTCAAGGATTTAGAATCAGTTTTGATAACGACACGTTTGAAGCAGGGCAGAGTGACCTTTCGCACCTTTTTGTAGAAGAGAGAATCTTCAGGATTACCATGATTCACATCGAAATCATTGCCTGGCTCTAATCTTGTTTGAAACCATCACATTAAATCATAAGATCTGATGTTTTCATATGAATCGTAATAAATCTTCTGACTGAGGCCATTGTAGCTCAGCCTGTAAAGAGTCTCGAAAAGGAGAATTAAGTTTAGACTTGTAACTTCTTGGCTCCATTGAGGAGTCGAGCAAGAAATATCTGGAGCTTTATTGGCTGCTATATTTGGACTTGAGTGCTTGGAGTTTGAGAAACTTACGAGAGAAGCTGAAAATGAGCCAGAACGAATAATTTTCAGATTTTTACAGAACAAAATGATGCTAAAAATTTGTATTAAATATAGTTAATGGCTGCTTTTAGATATTATCTTATCTTGCTAATAAAATTTTAAAATTTTGAAAAATCAAGTCACCCAGGATTTGACTTAGATGGGTCTAAACAAATGCAGTATATGTTGTCAAACATATGAAAAAGGAAAGCATAAAAGAATTTAGAGTACATTACGAGGTTACCAAAAAATAAAATATGGCTGAAGATTAAGAACTCTCGAATTTTGATGGGCAGCTGTTGAAGATCTTACTCAGTTGGCTTCCTCTCCTTCTATCCATTTCCTCATGGTTATCCTTTGAAGTCATATCCATTGCCTGTTCATTCTCTGTAACTTCATTTATAAGGCTTAGTTTCTGTGCTAGTCCATCAGCTTGTGAGTGCAGATAGTTGAATATATCTTTAATTGATGTATCTTCTTCGTCTTCTCCCATATACTGTATCCAGAACTGGTTCATTTTGAATGCATTCACAATTTGTGAAATTAATCTAGAGATTTGGTGCAGACTTAGAGGATAGGAGCCAGGCTGGCATGACTGGTACTCCTCAAGAATGATCTAGCCTCTTTCCACAACAGTCTCCAACTCCTGCAATGTCTTCTCTTTGGAACCTATATGACTGGTCAACCTCGTGTATTTAAGAGCTAACTTCTCTTGTAAAGTAATGGTTCTTACTAAATTGTTCTTGGTTTCCTTCTTTTGGCTTGGAGATTACTCCTTTATTGGCTCTGTTGAGTTTTGTTGAACTCTGAGTGCCACTTCCGCTTTCCATATTTATTAAAATTATTTAGGTTTCTTTATGAGCGGCCTCCTATGGGGTTTTGGGGTTTTGGGGTTTTGGGGTTTTGGGG